AAGTATCATATATATTAATATATAATTAATCAGTTTTATTCTTGTTGGAAATGAATGTAGCGAAAATGATTAGGACCCATAATTTTTATCATATAAGGGAGGGGGAATATTTACTATTTACAAAAAATCAGGTGATAAATGACACTTCCCTTAGATATATTATATATAGTCTTGATACTACTATCTTAAAATAGAAGCTCTTGGGTAATCCAAATCTAAAGAACTAGAATATTTGAAATTTATTTGGCAAGACCTAAGTAAGAAGATAGTAAAAATCTTTAATAATACTGTGAAAATCAAAATTGAAGACTAAAGAATCAGATAAACAACTATAAGTCAAAAAGAGTCTACTAATTTAATTGTTAGAGTCATATTAGAGTACAATGTCCCATTTGTGCTAACTAGTTTGATAGTTGAAAAGAAATTAGTATAAAGACTAATTGATATAAGAACTAGGATTGAAATAAATATTATAAGAGCATAATACTAAAATTATACAGTTTAATAGTTAGCTCTAACTACTAGTATTAGTTTTAACTATAGCAAAAAGTATTTTAAGCCTAATCTAAAAATGTATAAGACATAAAAAGATTAAAGAAATACTACACCTTTTCTAAGATAATCTAATAGTATAAGAAACCTATAAAGTTATCTATAAAGAAAAAACATAAATAATAAAATACATATTAATTTGAATAACTTTTAATTAAAACAGCATAAAATTATATATTAACATAATTGTAGAGTGATATAGAATAGAAGAAATTAGAGGTTTAAATAAATAATCTTCTAGTTAAGTTATAAATATAGTATATAGTATAAAACTTTCAGGTAGATTACTTAAATAGACAACTAAAAATTATATATGTGGCTAAATATACTTTTATTAACTAAGTATATATTATTATAATCTAATAAAAATCTACCTTTATATGACATTGTGAAGATAAATAAAAATAAAAAAAATAAAAAAGAATCTTAAAAAAATTAAATAAATTTATAGATTTCAATTTGTTGTTATTTATTAGTCTGTTTTTAAATAAAAAATTTTAAATACAAATAAGCTTTAATTATTTTTATCAGTTTAGATTGAGTTTTGTTTATATTTTTAGTTATTACAGGATTTTAGTTAGGTGATTTTTATATTTTACTAATAAAAAGATTTAATTGATGATCCACGAGTAAACGAGAACTTAACACTGGAGGAATTTTTATAGTAAAACATAGTAAAAAAATGTTAAGTCAGAATCATAATTCCTATAGTATTGTAAAATTTTTTAACCTTAAATTGCTCATAACTTTTTATCTATTTAACTAATTTTACCGATCTTACTATCATTAGAATCACAAAAACTAGTTCTACAACTTTCATTAGAAACTTACAAAACATTAACTTAATAAAAATTTAACTTTACTTAGTCAGGAATGCTGATTTTGATATTTTATATGTGTCGCTATAGATTTTATTAATACAAATTCTCATTTATTCGTAGATCATCAATTAAATAAATAATCAATTAAAAAAGTCTGAGTTAGTTCATTTTAAACTTTTTGTTATACTTCAGTTTTTGGTTTAGTTTTAAGAGAAGTTATAATTAAAGTTGAGTTAATTTTGAGTTCTTTTATTAAGATATTATTTAAGAAGTTTTATATCTATAGTTTAGATAAAGAGTTACTATAATATTTGCTAATAAAGTAATATTATTAGTATTATTAGGATCATTAAAGTTTTATAAAAAATACTTTAAGAACAAATTTCTAAATTGTTTTGGGCAGTGAGATCCTGTTTTCAAATAATTAAAAAGTATTAAAAGGCTTAAATAATTATAGAGAATTGCTATTTGCACCACAATTTTTGCTATTTACACTATTAATTTGGCTGGAGCTAACCCTAATTCTGGTCAAACTAATAGTGCAAATAGCAAAAACTATGGTGCAAATAGCAATACCTTAATTATATATTAGCAAAATTTATATTTATATTTATCAATTACTAGCTCCAAAAATATATATTGAGTTTAATCTCTTTTGCTAATTATCATCAATTATAATATATATTGATAAACATTCAATTAATTATAAAATGATGCAAATCAATTATAAATATAAATAATATGTAATCAATAACTAATAAAATATATTAAATATATCTATATAATATAAATATATAATAGTTATATAATTTATTTAAAAGTCAAATTTTATGTATTATATAAATTTCAATCAAAATATTAAATTTATTAATACAGTTTTATTAATAAACATTTTATTACAATTATTACTTACAATAAAATACAAATAGTACAAATTAAAAAATTATATACAATAAAAAACAAGCAATATATAATGCAAAAAATAATTATAAAAGAAAAAAAAAAAAAAAAAAAAAAAAAAAAAAAAAAAAAAACAAAAAAAAAAAAAAAAAAAAAAACAAAAAACAAAAAACAAAAAACAAAACTAGGTTTCAGATTTCAAATTTACAATTTACCCGGACTCTTGAAAATTATGGTGACACATTTATGCATTTTCCAGACACCTTTTTAGTAAACTGATGTCTTATCGCTATTAATCGCATGCGTAAAGTTAAAATCATATTATAATGCAAGTTAGTATAAAAATACCACGCCGTTAATGTGTGATGCATATACCCGATAACCAATTGGGATCAATCAATAAAACGGATTTCCAGTCATCGTGGGCGGGGACAAAGAATTTTTTGATATGTACCTACTTATTTATCTCTCCTCTATGTTCTGGACAACAATTGCTTTTGAATTAAAGATATTTAATATTATTGCACTTTGAAAATAGATGTGATCTCTGCAGATAACGAGGTCATTTGAGAACCGGAGATTCCGTAAATTCTAAAAAATTTACCGCTTTCAAGTAAATGAATGGCGCCAAGAGAAAATGAACATTCTAAATATAGAACTTTTTTGTATAATAGACTGCGAGATTTCCAAATCAATCATAAACAGTTTAAACGACAATCAAAATTCTTTTGATCACATGTACTATAAAAATATTTGAATTATATTGTACAAAAGTTTATATTTAGAATCTCCATTTTCGTTTGGCGACACTCGAATATAAATATAACTTATCGAAAATATGATTAGTAGACAATCTAAGAATTTTAGAATGTATAATCGAAAAATATCCATTTTTATTATAAGATAAAATTTCAAATATCACGTGTAAGATTTTGTGTGACTATTGTGATCTCTACAGATCATCGCGTAATGTAAAATCGGAGTTGATACAAAAATCTAGAATCACCGAAATTTTCCGCTACCGTCTTTTTGCAAACCGCTATAATTAATATGTGAAGCTAGAATCGATTCTACAATAATTTACAAATTTCAAATAAATTATAGATATCACTGCGGAATATATGATGATTGCACTTTGCAAAAAAATGGCCTCTGCAGTTCACGATGTCATTAACCGGAGATTCTATAGATTAATTTTACCGATTCAAAGAAATATATTGCGGTTCACAAGGTGTAACCTTTGTAGATCATGGTTGACGGCGTTGATTGAAAAACATGTTAGACAATAGAATCTCTGAAATTTCCCACCGTCATTATCACGAAAATCACCCTTTTGCAAAGTGCTATAAACCTAACCGACTGAAAATATAATGTAATAGACAATCTAAAATCTCGAAAGGTTCCCTGATTATCATCACAAAATCATGTGACTAAATCGTTATAATAGATTACAAGAATCTCTGAAATAGCTATCATAAAAATCTTGTGGTTATGGGATAATTTAAGAGCATTAACCTTATGACCAATATTAATAATACGAGTAATAGATTAGGGTTGATATTGTAATAAAAAATTAATTGTAACAGTCTTTTACTGTATATATTATTTGTAATGAAAATTATAAGTATCTCCCACAGGAAACTCACCCAAAACCTCTTAAAGTTATTTATGCTAAGATAACATTTAGTTTGGGGTTAAGATAAATGAAACACACAGTAAATTTGCTTAAAGTAAAACTTTTTGCTAGAGCATGAAAGGTTGCTTTTTTTTCAAATCGTGTATTGGTGTTACGATTACACAACTATGGCTCGCTATTGGCTGAATAAATAAAATTGTGTACATCGGAATCATTTCTCTATTTGAAATAGTCTCCTGGTGGTGAAACTAGATTGTACTGGTGAAACTGGTGACTACATATAATTTGATTGACTATTGATTTCGATAGCCAATCAAATTTTAGATAGTCACCAGTTCACAACAATCTATTAGCTACACTTAATTAAAGGGTTATTTATAATACTTCTATAATTGTATAATTTTGACATTAAATGATATCATTTAGCCAATTAGAACTTTCTATCAATCATAGAAGAGGGGTTAAAATTATTTTCCCTGCTCGTCATTACAGAATAACAATTTGTTAAAATATAATTAATCCTATGTAATATCGGTAAATGACTTTTAGAGGAACTAACATTTGAGGGATGAACCATAACGGAAAGAGCTATTGAAATTTACTAAATACCATATTTGCGCGAAATAACGCCTCCCTGGCGTTCTATCATTTGAGTTATACATATAAGACAAATATTTACTCTTATTTGTCAATGATTTATAGATTAAATAAATTATATGGATAAACTTTCACAATTCCATTTTTGGAATATAGTATAGGTTACCCCGGTGTTTATGCATTCCTGAAATTTTTCCAGGTCAAATATAGTATAGGTGACTTTGTGCTTCTGCATTTCTGGAAACTTTACCGAAAGAGTTTCATATCCTATAATTGAACTGGACAAATTTCCGGTAGCCTATACTATATTTAATCCCCCTTTTTGCCTAAGTAATTTTCTTCTTTCCTATAATCTCTGGTTCAATTCGATTCAACCATCGAGTTTAGTTTTATTCATTATGCCTCAGCATAAGTCATCCCGTCATGCTGCTAATCGAAGATACTATGAAAGAAATCGAGAACGAATTCTCCAACTTCGTCGAGCTTCTCGCATTGAAACTCGCGCTCGACTAGAATACCTTGAAAGTATTAGGGTTTCTTGTTTTCAAACTCACAGTCATCCGCAACTTCCTTCGATTTATAATCTTTTGAACTTTGAATCTCCTCAACACGAAATGATGCTGGCATCAAAACCCGATGAAAATAAGCAATATTAAGTTTTAGACGGGATGACTAAACAATTAATGTTGTTGGGGTATATTCTCGTTATGATTGATGAGCATTTTATAACTTGATATAAGTTTCATTTAATAATTTAATTCTACCAAGATGGCAAATCTTTATATAAAATTTTAAGATGGCAAATCTTTATATAAAGCTTCAATATGGCAAAAGAAAATCGGAAATTTTCGTACTTTTTATTAGATTTTATTCGTTTAAATATACGATTTCTAAAATGTCTTTTCGTTTAAATTTTTTGTGTTTTTCACAATATATGATTATAAGTAAATTTTTTCTAATAAATAAGGTATATGGTCAAAGTCTAACATTTTATAATTTATTAAATATGTAAAAATGTCTTCTGAACTGATGTAAACAAGTAGATATTAATTTCTAATCCTTAGCTCCTGATATCTAATGATTTATTATATAAGATAATTTGCATGCACTATATGCAGGAATTAGATAGTACCGCTGTCTTCATATTACAAAAAAATTTTAAGCTTAAAAGTTATTAAGATAATAGTTGACTTTAAAATCAATCGTGTTTTCGGATTTAATTTTAATTTTAATCTAATGAAAGGCACTATATTCGGATTTTTGAAGTCGCTAAAACAACTACCCTCAAATTCTTCCCGAGTGTAACTAACAAGAAACTTCGACGTATGCTAATCAATTAAAGTTCGGTTATGTTCTGATTAGCATTCACACTAAACTTCTGTGACGTCGTCGTAAAATTGAAATTATAAGCATAGATCATGCTCGAATGTAATGCAGTGTATTATTCCCACCAAAAAAAAAAAAAACAAAAAAACAAAAAAACAAAAAAACAAAAAAAAAAAAAAAAAAAAAAAAAAACAAAAAAAAAAAAACAAAAAACAAAACAAGGTTTCAGATTTCAAATTTACAATTTACCCGGCCTCCTGAAAATTATGGTGTGAGATTTATGCTTTTTC